ACATATCCCTGCCTGACAGCGAGTGCTGGACTCTTTATTTATGCAGCTTGTATGTCCCCGGCATGTTTTGTTTGATAGTAAGTGGTTGCTTCTTTATTTGAGCAGCTTGTATGTCATCCAGATATCATTAAGTTATCCTTGCAATAAATGGTCTCTCCAGAAGTCCTGCAGAGAAGTTTATTGTGAAGTCCTTACAGGTGGTATTCTCTTTATTTGAGAAACTTGTTTTGTAATTCAACCTTCCCGCATCTCTTTTTTAGTATCCCCAGTAGACTTGATTTATCTTAATTCCTAGCAAGTGGTGGTCCCTTTAGTAGAGACGGGCTGTATTTGGTCCTTTGTCAGGTGGAAGACTTGATCAAAGAAGGAACCATGACCCATTCTCAGCTTAATTCCATAAATTCAAGAGGTTTATCTTAATACCTAGAAAGTCGTGGTCCCTTTAGTAGAGACAACATGTATTTGGTCCTTTGTCAGGTGGAAAACTTGATCAAAGAATAAATTGTGACCCGTTCTTGGCTTAATTCCAGAAATTTGGAAGGCTTATTTTAATTCTTAGCAAGTGGCGGTCCCTTTAGTATAGATAACGTGCATTTGGTCCTTTGACAGGTGGAAGACTTTATCAAAGAAGAAGTTGAGACTCGTTCTAGATGGAATACCAGAATTTTGAGAAACTTATTATTATCAATGCATATCCTACCTTCATCTATGAGTTAGTAGTATACCATCATCTGTGAGTCAGTATATCTCTTGATTTTCTACCTTCATCTGTGAGTTGGTAGTTTACCGTCATCTATGAGTCGGTATATCTCTTTATTTTCTACCTTCATTTGTGAGTTGGTAGTTTACCGTCATCTCTAAGTCGGTATCTTCTTGATTTTCTACATTCATTTGTGAGTTGGTAGTTTATTGTCATCTGTGAGTCGATATATCTCTTGATTTTCTACCTTCATCTATGAGTTGGTAGTTTACAGTCATCTTTGAGTCAGTATATCTCTTGATTTTCTACCTTCATCTGTGAGTTGGTAGTTTACCGTCATTTGTGAGTCAATATCTTCTTGATTTTCTACCTTCATCTGTGAGTTGATATTTTATCATCAACTGTGATTCGATTTTATCTCTTGATTTTCTACCTTCATCTGCGAGTTGGTAGTTTACCTCCATCTATGAGTCGGTATATCTCTTGACTTTCTATCTTCATCTATGAGTTGGTAGTTTACCGTCATTTATGAGTTGATATCTTCTTGATTTTATACCTTCATCCGTGAGTTGGTAGTTTACTATCATCCGTGAGTTGGTATATCTCTTGATTTTCTACCTTCATCTGGGAGTTGGTAGTTTACCGTCATCTGTAATTCGGTATATCTCTTGATTTTCTACCTTCATCTGTATGTTGGTAGTTTACTGTCATCTGTGAGTCAGTATCTTCTTGATTTTCTACCTTCGTCTGTGAGTTGGTAGTTTATCATCATCTGTGGGTAGGTATATCTCTTGATTTTCTACCTTCATATATGAGTTGGTAGTTTACCTTCATCTGTGAGTCGGTATATCTCTTGATTTTCTACCTTCATCTGTGAGTTGGTAGTTTACTATTATCTGTGAGTCGGTATCTTCTTTATTTTCTACCTTCGTCTGTGAGTTGGTAGTTCAATGTCATTTATGAGTCAGTATATCTCTTTATTTTCTACCTTCGTCTATGAGTTAGTAGTTCACCATCATCTGTGAGTCGGTATATCTCTTGATTTTCTACCTTCATTTATGAGTTGGTAGTTTACTGTCATCTGTGAGTCAGTATATCTTTTGAGCTTCTACCTTTATCTGTGAGTTGGTAGTTTACCGTCATCTATGAGTCAGTATATCTCTTGATTTTCTACCTTCATTTGTGAGTTGGTAGTTTACCATCATCTGTGAGTCGGTATCTTCTTGATTTTCTACCTTCATCTCTGAGTTGGTAGTTTACCGTCATTTATGAGTCGGTTTATTCTTGCTTCTCTACCTTCAGTAAAAGTCAGCAGTTCACCTTCAGTAAAATTTGATGTATCTTTGATTCTCTACCTTCAACGAAAGTTGGTAGTTCATCTTTTATCTTGTGAGTTGCCCTCAATTGTGAGTCAGTAACCATTTTCCTTTTCACTAACTATGCAGGGTATTTTCCTGATAAAGTCAGTAATCTCTTTTCCTCTTAGAGTTATTCCCCAATAAGAATATATCATGGAAATATGTTGCTCTTTTCTCCAACAAAGTTTCTATTGTGTCTTTCTATATCCCTGCAGGTTGTGCTTTTCCCCGGTGGTATCTTACTTTGTTGCTCATTCTCTAACTGTGATTTTGGTTTTCCCTATACACAGTTATCCCCATAATTATGTTGTTCCCAAGTGATTTATTTTCCTGGTGAACTCTCTTTAGCATCTTTCTCCAACAGTTTTAGGTCGTAGTTTTATCTACGCATTATTATCCCCAGTAATGTTTTATGTTTTCCACAGAATCCTTTGTGTCTGCATTCATAACCATAAGCATTGCATGGCATCTTAGGGCTAAAAAATTAGGTCTTTGAATATGTAAGTATCTTCAAAGACGTTGAGACGAAGGTTTCAACCTTCATATCTCCAGATATAAGACACTTAAATAGGGGCAATTGTCATACCCCAATTTTTTCCCCTAATAATTTTATTCATAACATCTTATGCATTTGCATCATAAATCATTCATTCATTTGAGCTCCTAAGGCATGGGATCAAATGGCTCTTGGCATTAGGGTTTTCCCTATGGATTGAGGTTTCTACCTCACTTAAGATGATTTAACTGGTTCATTCATCACTCATGGTATGGAACTAGGGTTTTGGATCACAAGCATCATAGACATTCTCTTTAGCAAGATTCCTCAAGACACAAGGTTGTCTTCATAAAAATTTATTCAAAGAACCAGTGCATTAGGGTCTAACTTGTGTGCTTAATATTTTATCATGTCTTTATTAATAATATTCTTGAGCTAGGGTTTTGTTCCACTCAACATCTCAAGTCACTTCTTCATCAATGTGCACTCAGAGCAAGAGAATTAGGGTTTCTCCTATATTATGCCTGAACATCGATATTGGTTATTCAACAAAGGTTCATTGGGCTAGGTTTTTACCTTAAAGCTACAAGAATCACCATTCTTTCCTCATTACAAGTTCATAATCATTTAGGGTTTCTCCTAATTTCTTGCTCCACAAGGCGTTCCTTTCAAGAGGCTTATAAGATTGAATCAATATCTTCTTCGCATGATGATACTTATCAGTTGGTTAAAATTTGCTTGGGATTTCATCAATTCAAGATATTCCTTGTTGTTTAAGCTATGAATTAGGATCTCATCAACCTTTCAAATAGGATTGCTTTTTGAATTTGTGATTCAATTGAAGATGGAGGTTCATTGGTCAAACTTGATATATAAGATGTGTTTGAGAATTCTTTGTAAACAAGATCATGTTGCCTACTCAGTTGTTTGTTGCTTGCAAGTTAATTTTCTTTCATTATGAAGATTTATGCATTCAAGTGTGCCATGAACTCAACATTTCCAAAAGAACAAGTAGCATGATTCAAGGAATTGGTTTATAGATTCTTTATGGTGTCAAAAATTTCAAGCAGTGGTATGATTCATCATCCAAGAATTAATTCAAACTGGAAAGTCCCTTCATGTGGTTTGTTTGGAAATTAAATAACCAAGTACAAGGTGCAAGATTAAGATTTTAAGGCATGTATCATTGTTCATTCATCATTCAAAAATTCATTCAAATATACATCATCCAAAGTTTCATTCAAGATTTAAGTTCCATCAATAATATCCAAATATTTCAAACAAGGTCCTTAAGATGCAAGAAGTTCATTCATGATTCATTCAAAGTTTCTTCTATGGATTTTATTCAAGATTTAAGATGAATTAGCAAAAGTTTGCAATTGAAAGTTCATTGAGTTTTGGTTTTAGAGCAAAGATTCAATCAAACTATGTAATTCCATTCCATCCAAGTTCATTACAAAAAGAAGGCTTCATTAAAAATATCATCATTACAATTACATCAATAATTACGTGAAAATCAAATTCCTAATTTCTAAACCTAAACTCTATCTTTATCTTCTAACCATGATTCATGTTCTTTGCAAAACTTTTCTAAACTTTGTCCAAATTGTGCAATGCGTCAATATCTAAACTTGCAACTTTGTTGAAGATCTCACCAAAACAGAAAATATAAAGAAAAGAAAGTGAAAATCGTGAGAAATGCAAAACAGAGAAAATCATGAACACAAACCATGCTTTAATCATTTCAGCTCAGCAAAACAAAATAAAAAAAAACTTAGAAAATAATTTCAGAGCAAATAATTTCACAACATATGAGAAACTCAGATTAAATCGTCACCATTTATTCTTGTAACTAACTATTATATTCAAAGGCTCAGATTCATTAATCTCTAACAAAATTTTGGCAGCTATATAACAGAAATTCATTCACAGAGAAGGGATCACGATTCATATTCACTAATCACAAAAAAAACTTCAAAAACTGACCTGTTAATTCTCGGAGTTTATTTCTCATATCCTCTCTCTCTATTTCACCAATCTTCACTACAATTATTTTAAATTTCATCTGGTTCATCATCAATCTTCATACATCTTCAGACAACAATTTCGATCTTCATTTATTTCATCATTTCCGTAACAAACTTCTGCATCACGCGCACCTACAATTTGCATCATCATCATTGATTTATCATCTTCATAGAACAATATCTCAGAACAACAATGATAACGCAAAAACAGAATTAAAAGAAGAAGAAATTAAGTAGAAGAGGAAGGGAATTTCGTAGCAGAAAATGAGAAGAGCACGAGGATCTTGACTTGAAGATACTTTTGTTTTCTTTGCTTGATTTCGATGCTGCCGAAGAGTCTCCAGAGTGTCTCCGGTAGGTAAGCTCTCATCCTTCTGCGATTTCTTTTCTTTTTGTTTGTTCTCGTCACCGATCAAGAGTTACGAAGAGAGAAACATAGCTATTATACGGTGAAGTTGAGGTGAAATACGAAGGAGATGAATCGATGACGACGGACGGAGAGGAGAGAGAAGCAAACGGTGACGTTTTATTGGTGATGTCGACTGAAGTAGATCAAACGAGGTGACCACCGCGGTGCTTCGATCTGGAGAATCAGAAGCGAAAAGAGAAGCTGATGATGAGTCAAAACGAACGATGACGTACGGAAGGAACGACGGCATTTTCGTCGGTGACAGAGCGAAGGAGAATAAGGTGCTCGCGGCACTGAGTATTGAACAAAGAAGAAGAACGCTTTTACTTGTGAAGTCTGATCGTCACTTAACTTAACCCTATCCAACTATCCAATACACATGTGTTTTGTTTAACTTCTTTTTCTTAATTTTTTTTATTTCTTTTTTAAAATCAGAAAAATGAATAGATAAATTTGAATAAAAGCTGGTGGTGATGTTGTTTTTGCTAATGGATCATTTCTGTTGGGCCTTTGTGCCAATTTCTATACCACACACTTTGATCCAAATTTCAAACTCCTTTGTTTTAGAGTTTAAGAAATTCTTTTTCTATTTTTTTTTAATTAATTTTTCCTTTCATAATTTTGATGACAAAAATATATGAATAAAACGGTAGAAATATGGTAATAGATTTTAGGATTTTTCTTTAGAATTTGATTAGAGTTTTTTATTATTCTTTTTATTTTTGGTAATCATTTTCTACATTTTACCATGATCTTGATGTCTTCTGATGATTTTTGCCATGATCTTGATGATATTGCTTGTTGAGGATTGTCTTGATGCTTGATTAATTATTTAATTGCTTATATGTTAACATGTTTTCTTAAGATTTTTAATTCAATTTTAATCTTTTGATTAAATTGAATTAGTTAGATCTTAGGCCTTTAATCTAAGCATGATAACAATTAGGATTAATTTCCTTGATCCCAACCTTAGGACTATGATGCATGACAACATTAGAATTAGTTTTTCTTAGTCATTTTCTCTTTCTTTTGCATTACATTCTCTTTTCATTTTAAAACAAAAAATGTTTTCTTAATCAAAACTCAAAACACTTAACAAGTAAAGATGTGAATCATATGCAGTTGAGTCTTATGAAAAAGAGTGAGGCGGTGCATTTCTAACCTTGTTCTTCTTTCATTCCCAGATTTTATTACGATTCAAATCATAAACAGTTTTCACAAATAAGTGGAGAAATAGTAGGTGCCCCTGCATACGGGCAAAGAATTTGATTAGATGTGTTGGTCATAATAGAACTTGCATATTCTAATTGCATGAGTTCGATTTCATTTGACATTATTTATAAAATCTTTCGTCATTTCTTCTTTCAGAAATTCTACTGACTAAAGCTTATTCGATCATCATCTTCCTTTTTGAAAACATATTGATCTTTTAAACGAAACCATGAAGTTGATTTCACACTTCTTCTTTCCTAAATCTTTTTTTTTTTAAATCACAATCACTTCCATCTTTTGATTTAAGGTTTAGATCAAGTTTATGATTCTAATTCTTAACTTTTAGATATTTATAAGACACAAAAGTTCTAACATATATCTTAAAATATTTAATAATTTTATGAGAATTTTTAAAAATATATTAGATGTTATTTTCAAATATTCTTTATAAATTGAAAGAATAAATTTGGCATCTAAAATTATTTAAATATTTATCATTAAAGATTTTGATATAATCAAAATCACATAATTTTTTAAAATGATATATCTAAAAATTTATCTTTTTTTTTAAATCTATTTTAAATAACATTAAATTTAAGAAATATTTTAAAATCTTAAAAAATTATAACAGAATAATAAAATATTTTAAATAATAATAAAAAAATTAAAATAAACTACACTTTTTGAATTTTAATTATAAATTTATTTTTTGTTAATGAAATAAAAAAATAAAAAATTAGCAGAGGGAGAAGTAATAAATAATATATAATAAAATACAAAAATAATTATTAATATTACATTAATGATATAAAATAAATTTAAAAAAAAAATTACAAATTAATTTATAATTTGAGAAGGAGGAGGTATAACCTCAAAAAAAGAACTTTATAATAAATTATAAATTAATTTAGTCTGAACTAGTTTTTGTAAAAGATTATAATATTGAAATGTGGGGATTATAATATTTGTAAAGACAAATATTTTAAAATTTATAGTTAAGATTATTTTATACAACTAATTACATGTTTACTTAAATATAAAACATGTGGTGAAACTTGGGTAATCTTCATTTGGCATGAGTATTAAAACAATTGTATTGCTAAAAAACCAACTTGGGTATCGAACAGAGTACATAGCAGCCCAACCTTCAATCCCATAAATATTAAATACAATTGCTAAGACACGTATACAATTGGAAATAATAAGTAATACTTTATGTCTTATATATTATTATTTAATTTATAAAACTCATAAATTAAAATTTTGAGGCCCGTATTTATTGAAGTCCTAGGCTATGGATCTATTTGTACTGACTTAGGACCGGTCCTGATTAGGAGTCATTCACTATTATCTAATAAAATATTTTAACTCATTCAAATCTTTTTATGTCTTTCGTGCACTTTTCTTTTTAAAATTTTTTCTTAAAGATTAGACTCTTTGATAATTGTAGTGATGCAAACTATTATACTTCTACTAGTGAAGTGATTGCTATTTTTCATTTGTATGTTGAGAAATTTCCTTGTTGATTTAATCCAAGCAAATACTCCATCAAGATGATGCAAATGCTCATTCATGATTGTGGGTAGTAAGTATGTTTTCCACTCGAATGCAACATGTCTTCCATTTAAAAACAATCAACAAACAAATTTTTTTTAGAAAGAACTACGAATGTTCTTATTCCTTTTGGGATACGTAGGCACATGGTTGAAAAATACAGACGAACGCAATAATAAAAACTTTTTCTTTTTCTCAATTAACCCATTCATGCATTTTTAGCAAGTTTAAGCATTAGATAACACACCATTTTGATTAGAACAAACATAGTGGATGCGGTAACACCCTAATTTTATTTACTAATTATTTTATTAGTATTTATATTGTTAATTATTATTTGATTGATAATTATTTAATTATTTAATTTTGTGTGATCGTGTGAATAATTGATTTAGTTGGAATATATGTGTTATTTGAGTAATTGGGCGTAAGTGTGAGAATAACATTATTAGTCAATCCGGCCTTGGTGATGGTTTAGTGTGAGAGTGGATTAAGCACAATAGAGAAAATAAGGGTTAGTAAGAGTGTTGTAAAACAAAAGAGAAAAATAGAATTATAAAGGGAATTAACAAGAGAAGAGAAGAGAAGAGAAGAGAAAAGAAGAGAAGAGAAGAGAAGAGAAGAGGAGAAAATATGAAGAAAGAAGAAGAACCCTAGAAGTATCTAAATCTAAGGTAAGGGTGGGTATTCTTTGATTTATGTGTATATGTAATGGTATGTGATGGGTAGTGTAATACGGTGGAAGAACTGACTTTTGGTTTTGCGTTTTATCGTAAATGTTGCGGATAGCAAGAGTCGTCACTGACTTTTCTTTTATCCAATAAAGGAAAGGGTGAAAAGAACAGGAAAAACCTTCGAGAATTTTCTGAGTAAGGGGGGTAGGTTATGAAAAGGGAAGGTGTTAGCACCTTTTTCATCAGTAGTTATCTACGGGCTCTTAATCGCTAGCTCACTTTTGAAATGTTTTGTGAATCTATAAGTTTAAAAATATTTTGGAAATGCCTAAGTTCGGCAACTTTATGATGATTCTTGTATCAGTTGTGTGAAAAGGATGTTTTTGTGAGCAAGTGATTAAAAGCTATCTACCTACTCAAAAGTCTTTTGTGTTATTTTTCTCTTCCTTTAGATAGTGTTATCCTACCATTAGTTAGTAGGAAGTCCAGTCGTTGGATGTTTGAGGGACAGGCGCGAGTCATCGTACAGTCATAAAGGCAACATATAGGGATATCTTTAGTAATTCGAAGGGACTGTCATCATGTATTCATAGACAACATCGAGGGACAAGATCATTTACCGAAGGCAACTTTGAAGGGTCATCGAAGGACTATGATTTTTATGATGATTTTTAACTGAGGGTCTTTGCTAATGGTATCCCTACGTTCGATGGACATGACTGTTTTTTATCTGAAGGCAACAAATGGAATCACCCTAGAGGTGCGCGTGTGAACAATGATTTGCTTTCAGTTAATTCTTTTTTATACATTTTGGTTTTATACATTTTGGTTTTAGATCTTTCCATACATGCCTAATTACTATACAATTATATATATACAAGCATAATTATATGTGCAGATAGTAAAATGCGGGAAGATAAAAACCTATGCTATTACAATGCTTCGAAGATGGGCGTTACAAACCATAAAAATGGGGAGAAAAACAGTAAACCCTAGTTTATCTATTACAACCTTTAGCAGTTACAATATTTAGTAAAACTCGCATAAAACTTAAATCTAAAACTATTACTACTTGACGTGAAGCTTATACATTTGATCTAAGAAACTTAACTAGCATAGAAAATAAACATTATTTTTAAAGAAATATGGGGGAAAAAACCTAATTTGATATTTTTGGTATTTTTTTTAAATGATTAACCTAATTCTAAATTAAATTATAAATTATTAAATAAAATAAAACCTAAGTCTAAAATTAATTAAAAAAATTAATTGATAAAAAACATTTTTTTGTTTTTTTATGAAATATTCTGATTAAGTTGATTTAATTAATTATAAAAAAAGGTTGATTATGTTAAAATAATATAAATTAAAATAAAAAAGAGTGGTGGGCCTGAAAGTAAGTCTGGGGGGTGCAAGGGAAGTAGATTTCTAGGACCAAACACGCTAGCCCAGCAGTTTGACTGATCCTGTATGACCAGTTCCAAGAGGTACATCATGGGGGTTCCCTTCTGGCTTTTGGATCTGGATTGGTTGAGATCTGATGGACAGGATATGAGATGCATGGTGTGCGCGCTAGACTGGATTCATGCTGGATCTGCAAGAGAAATGTGAGAAAAATAATATACTAGGGGCAGGGATCGAACATATGCCCTGGTACACTAACATCCTAACAAACATGCGCTTACCAATGAGGCGGCTATTACTTCCGTTCATCTAAATCAAACAAATGCAATAAATACACAAAGTGAATTATATGGCCGGAGAAGCGCCAAAGTCCTAGCTCTGGTCGTCTTCTCCGGTAACCTGCAAA